ACAACCCCTGCAAGGATTATTTCTTAATTACCCAAAAAAGGTGGTCTCATGCCCACTTCAGATTTGAGAAAATGGAACGTGTTCATCAAGAAAATCAAATTTAGGATGATCACCCTCATGTCTATTTTACTTCACCTGGGCACTGATATGCTGCCCTTGGTTTACAGGAATGCATTCTTTCATGTGATGGTACATCCCGGCCACAGAAAATACCTTTGATTTATTGTTGGGAACATGCGCTATAATATTGCCTTTTGGTCTATCCTCAGCCCCAAGGCTGTTCACCGAGCGTATGTCAGTGGATAGTGGCCCATCTCTGTTGTTCCAGCATTCAAATTTTCCTTACCTGGATGATTGGTTAGTCCAAGGAACATCAAAAGATCATGTCTGACACAGCAGCAGTAGCATTAGAGATTTTTTTCTCTCATCTGGGGCAGAAATTAAATGCAGTGAAATCTACATTACTACCAACATAATGAATAAATGTCATAGGGGCAGGTTTCAATGCCACAATGAATAGATTTACCTCCTGATGGACAGGTTTCAATCCATACTCACCCTTTGTGAAAACCTCAAGTCAGATCTGAGGACATCAGTGTATCCTTGCCTCCAGCTCTTGGGGCACATGGCCTCATGCACATACATAACTCAGCATGCCAAACTTTACTTCAGATGTACTCCTGAGGGAATTCTGTGCCAAAAAATTTAAAATTCTGCAAAGACAATTTTAAAATTCTGTGCACGATATTTTAAAATTCTGCAAGTTTTGTCAATAAATAAATGCGGAGTCCCCAACATGGCAGTGGGGATCACAGGCCACTGGCGGTACAAAGGTGGGAGATCACCCTGTGGTCCCTCTCCTCCCTCGGCACACGGACTCAGTGATGATGCTGCACATGACCATGATACAGCACAAGGGCTGGGCCTGCCCCAGAAATACCCTGGGGCCCTGCCCCTCTGTGACAGGTGCATCAGGTGTGGGGCAGGCAGGTCAACCAGGCAGGATCCAAGTGTGGAGGGGCTCAGTGTGGGGGGATCCAGGTGTTGGGTGAGAGGGTTCTGTGTGGGACAATCTGAGTGCAGGAAGCTCAGTGGGGAGTCTAGGTGTGAGGGTATCTGGATGCACAGAAGCTCATTGGGGAGGTTCCAGGTACAGGGGCAACAGGACTCTACAGGGGCTTCCAGGTGAAGGTGGTTGGGGCTCAGCAGGGGGGTTTGGATGCTGGGGTAGTGGGGTTTGGGGGTGGGAGTCTGTGTGCAACTAGTTGGGAGTCAGTGGGGTGGGGGTCTGGATGTGGAGGTTCACGGTAGTGCAGTGGGATGGGGCTCATCCGGGTGAAGGATTGAGTGCAGGGAGCTCAGTGGAGGGTGGTATGGGTGCAGAGGTGGGGGTTTGGGTGCAGGGAGGCTCCAGATGCAGGGGTTGAGGTTCAGTGGGGTGGGGTTTGGGTATGGAGGGCTGCGGGGGGGGGGGGTCTGGGTGCACAGGGTGAGGTTGGGTGGATGTGGGAACAGGTCTTCATACAGTGACCCCTCCCCCCGCAGCTGAGGAGTGATAGGGGCAGGAAGCAGTGGAGGATGCTAAGCTTCCTGCAGCCAGGGGAGGTTTCTGAGGGTGGGTCTGACACAGTTCCAGACACTCCTTGCAGGGGAAGAGGAAACCCCATTCTCTCCCACCTCCAGCTCAGCCAGGACTAGCAGTATAGGAGCCACCGGCTGGGGTGTCCCCAGCCCTGCAGTTATTTACCTCTCCACCGACTGCTCCGGGTGCCTAAAACCACATACCTGTGCTGCTAGGAAGGGGTGCATGTCCGCTCTTGCAGCTTCCTTTTGCTTCCCTGTCAAAAAGTCATTTTTTCTGCAGGGAAGCTAAGAAATCTGTGGGGATATGAATTCTGTGCACGCACAGTGGCGCCAAATTCCCCCAAGAGTATCAGATGTCTGCAGGACTGACTTCACTCAGTATACTGTCCAAGTAAACATTTTGGATATGCTGATTTGAATAGCTACCCAGGTGCTTGAGTCTCTGAATTGGTGGTCCCCAGAACATCAGAACAACCAGAACCAGACCATGACCCTTCCGGCAGATGTCTCCACCATGGGCTGGGATCCTCATCTTGGAGATAGTCAAGATTAGGTGTTATGATCAAGACAGGTGGCTACTCTCCATATAAATATAATAGATCTTTGAGACACTGGTCAGGTTTGCAAGATATTCATTACTATCATCAAGAAATCAAATGGCTCAAGTTCCTAAAAGATAGCAGTTGCTATCTGTATCTAACCATGAAAGGAGGTTGGCGGTAACTCAGGTTTGCCAAGAAGCAATTTGATTGTGGAACTTCTGCATAAGAAACAATATTTTTCTAAAAGCATTTTACTTTCCAGTGCTGAAAAATACCATGGTGGACTCTCTCAGCAGACACTTTATAGACTACTCGTGATGGTTTAAACAAGAATTCTACAAGGTATTTCACATGAATTGGAACTCCTGGTAACAAACCTTTTTATGTCAAACATAAATAACAAATGCAGATGGTTCTGCTGCAGGGCAGATCACAGCCTGGGCTCCATAACAGATATCTTCTTCCCTGGTCAACTCATCTACTATGTGCATTCCTTCCAGTTCCACTAATTCCACAGGTAATCAGGAAGCTGAAGAGACAAAGGAACCATAATCTTCATAGCATCTGCCTAGCCAAGGCAATATTAATACATGGACCTAATTCAATTTTCAATTTGACCACCTGTATGTCTGCCTCTAGTTGAGGGCCTTTTATCTCAGAACCAAGGCAAGACACTGCACCCCAACCTGCAATCTCTCCATTTTAAGGCTTGGATGGTCTCTGGTTGAGTAATTCTGAAAAAAAAAGTCTGCTCTCAAGATGTCCAAACCATTTTGGCCAACAGCAGAAAGGTCCCCACTAGCACCATTTATGAGGGGAAATGGACAACATTTTCAGTCTGGGCTAAATTTCATCAGTAATCATATTGTCACAGCCAGACATGCATATCAAACTACGTATTACATTTCAAATCTTCTGGGCTCTCAATTAATTCAATGAGGGTATGTCTACACTATGAAATTAAGTCGAATTTATAGAAGTCGGTTTTTTAGAAATCGGTTTTATATATTCGAGTGTGTGTGTCCCCACAGAAAATGCTCTAAGTGCATTAAGTGCATTAACTCGGCGGAGCGCTTCCACAGTACCGAGGCAAGCGTCGACTTCCGGAGCGTTGCACTGTGGGTAGCTATCCCACAGTTCCCGCAGTCTCCGCTGCCCATTGGAATTCTGGGTTGAGATCCCAATGCCTGATGGGGCTAAAACATTGTCGCGGGTGGTTCTGGGTACATATCGTCAGCCCCCCCGTTCCCTCCCTCCCCCCCCCCGTGAAAGCAAGGGCAGACAATCATTTCGCGCCTTTTTTCCTGAGTTACCTGTGCAGACGCCATACCACGGCAAGCATGGAGCCCGCTCAGCTCACTTTGGCAATTAGGAGCACATTAACCACCACACGCATTATTCAGCAGTATATGCAGCACCAGAACATGGCAACGCGATACCGGGCGAGGAGGCGACGTCAGCGCGGTCCCGTGAGTGATCAGGACATGGACACAGATTTCTCTGAAAGCATGGGCCCTGACAATGCATGCATCATGGTGCTAATGGGGCAGGTTCATGCTGTGGAACGCCGATTCTGGGCTCGGGAAACAAGCACAGACTGGTGGGACCGCATAGTGTTGCAGGTCTGGGACGATTCCCAGTGGCTGCGAAACTTTCGCATGCGTAGGGGCACTTTCATGGAACTTTGTGACTTGCTTTCCCCTGCCCTGAAGCGCATGAATACCAAGATGAGAGCAGCCCTCACAGTTGAGAAGCGAGTGGCGATAGCCCTGTGGAAGCTTGCAACGCCAGACAGCTACCGGTCAGTTGGGAATCATTTTGGAGTGGGCAAATCTACTGTGGGGGCTGCTGTGATGCAAGTAGCCCACGCAATCAAAGATCTGCTGATATCAAGGGTAGTGACCCTGGGAAATGTGCAGGTCATAGTGGATGGCTTTGCTGCAATGGGATTCCCTAACTGTGGTGGGGCTATAGATGGAACCCATATCCCTATATTGGCACCGGAGCACCAAGCCGCCGAGTACATAAACCGCAAGGGGTACTTTTCGATAGTGCTGCAAGCTCTGGTGGATCACAAGGGACGTTTCACCAACATCAACGTGGGATGGCCGGGAAAGGTGCATGATGCTCGCATCTTCAGGAACTCTGGTCTGTTTCAAAAGCTGCAGGAAGGGACTTTATTCCCAGACCAGAAAATAACTGTTGGGGATGTTGAAATGCCTATATGTATCCTTGGGGACCCAGCCTACCCCTTAATGCCATGGCTCATGAAGCCATACACAGGCAGCCTGGACAGTGGTCAGGAGCTGTTCAACTACAGGCTGAGCAAGTGCAGAATGGTGGTAGAATGTGCATTTGGACGTTTAAAGGCGCGCTGGCGCAGTTTACTGACTCGCTTAGACCTCAGCGAAACCAATATTCCCACTGTTATTACTGCTTGCTGTGTGCTCCACAATATCTGTGAGAGTAAGGGGGAGACGTTTATGGCGGGGTGGGAGGTTGAGGCAAATCGCCTAGCTGCTGGTTACGCGCAGCCAGACACCAGGGCGGTTAGAAGAGCACAGGAGGGCGCGGTACGCATCAGAGAAGCTTTGAAAACCAGTTTCATGACTGGCCAGGCTACGGTGTGAAAGTTCTGTTTGTTTCTCCTTGATGAACCCCCCGCCCCTTGGTTCACTCTACTTCCCTGTAAGCTAACCACCCTCCCCTCCTCCCTTTAATCATTGCTTGCAGAGCCAATAAAGTCATTGCTGCTTCACAGTCATGCATTCGTTATTCATTCATCACACAAATAGGGGGATGACTACCAAGGTATCCCAGGAGGGGTGGTGGAGGAGGGAAGGAAAATGCCACACAGCACTTTAAGCACAGCACTTTAAAAGTTTACAACTTTAAAATTTATTGAATGACAGCCTTCTTTTTTTTGGGCAATCCTCTGTGGTGGAGTGGCTGGTTGGCCGGAGGCCCCCCCCACCGCGTTCTTGGGCGTCTGGGTGTGGAGGCTATGGAACTTGGGGAGGAGGGCGGTTGGTTACAGAGGGGCTGCAGTGGCAGTCTGTGCTCCAGCTGCCTTTGCTGCAGCTCAACCATACACTGGAGCATACTGGTTTGGTCCTGCAGCAGCCTCAGCATTGAATCCTGCCTCCTCTCATCACGCTGCCGCCACCTTTGAGCTTCAGCCCTGTCTTCAGCCCGCCACTTATTCTCTTCAGCCCGCCACTTACTCTCTTCAGCCCTCCACCTCTCCTCCCGGTCATTTTGTGCTTTCCTGCACTCTGACATTATTTGCCTCCACGCATTCGTCTGTGCTCTGTCAGTGTGGGAGGACAGCATGAGCTCGGAGAACATTTCATCGCGAGTGCGTTTTTTTTTCTTTCTAAGCTTCACTAGCCTCTGGGAAGGAGAAGATCCTGTGATCATTGAAACACATGCAGCTGGTGGAGAAAAAAAAAAGGGACAGCGGTATTTAAAAAGACACATTTTATAAAACAGTCGCTACACTCTTTCAGGGTAAACCTTGCTGTTAACATTACATACATAGCACATGTGCTTTCGTTACAAGGTCGCATTTTGCCTCCTCCCACCGCGTGAACGGATTTTGGTTGAATGCCAGCAAACATACACTGCAATGCTTTGTTCTACAGTGATTCCCGAGTACGTGTTACTGGCCTGGAGTGGTAAAGTGTCCTACCATGAAGGACGAAATAAGGCTGCCCTCCCCAGAAACCTTTTGCAAAGGCAGAACCGCAAATGCCAGGGCAAAGTAATCCTTTCACATGCTTGCTTTTAAACCATGTATAGCATTTTAAAAGGTACACTCACCAGAGGTCCCTTCTCCGCCTGCTGAGTCCAGGAGGCAGCCTTGGGTGGGTTCGGGGGGTACTGGCTCCAGGTCTAGGGTGAGAAACAGTTCCTGGCTGTCGGGAAAACCGGTTTCTCCGCTTGCTTGCTGTGAGCTATCTACAACCTCCTCCTCATCATCATCTTCTTCGTCCCCAAAACCTACTTCCGTATTGCCTCCATCTCCATTGAAGGAGTCAAACAACACGGCTGGGGTAGTGGTGGCTGAACCCCCTAAAATGGCATGCAGCTCATCATAGAAGCGGCATGTTTGGGGCTCTGACCCAGAGCGGCTGTTCGCCTCTCTAGTTTTCTGGTAGGCTTGCCTCAGCTCCTTCAGTTTCACGCGGCACTGCTTCGGGTCCCTGTTATGGCCTCTGTCCTTCATGCCCTGGGAGATTTTCAGAAAGGTTTTGGCATTTCGAAAACTGGAACGGAGTTCTGATAGCACGGATTCCTCTCCCCAAACAGCGATCAGATCCCGTACCTCCCGTTCGGTCCATGCTGGAGCTCTTTTGCGATTCTGGGACTCCATCATGGTCACCTGTGCTGATGAGCTCTGCATGGTCACCTGCAGCTTGCCACGCTGGCCAAACAGGAAATGAGATTCAAAAGTTCGCGGTTCTTTTCCTGTCTACCTGGCCAGTGCATCTGAGTTGAGAGTGCTGTCCAGAGCGGTCATAATGGAGCACTCTGGGATAGCTCCCGGAGGCCAATACCATCGAATTGTGTCCACAGTACCCCAAATTCGAGCCGGCAACGTCGATTTAAGCGCTAATCCACTTGTCAGGGGTGGAGTAAGGAAATCGATTTTAAGAGCCCTTTAAGTCGAAATAAAAGGCTTCATTGTGTGGACGGGTGCAGGTTTAAATCGATTTAACGCTGCTAAATTCGACCTAAAGTCCTAGTGTAGACCAGGGCTGAGAGTCCACCTATCAACCATTTCAGCATTACATATCCTGTGGATGGATTGCTCAATCTTTTCACATCCTGTGGCAACTAGATTTCTAAAGGGACTTATATATATTTACCCTCCTATGTCCAATCGACTTCCATCATGGGATCAGATGTGGTATTGTCACTCTTAATAGATTCCATCTTTGAACCTTTGGCAACAGCATCGTTACCATTGGTATCAATGAAAACAGCACTTTTGGTTAAAAAAAAGTACTTCTGCAAGAAGGGTGTGAGAACTTCAGTCTCTAAGAGCTGACCCTCTGTACAAGAGTATTTCATAAAGGCAAGGTCTCTCTCAGGCCACACCCTAAGTTTATGCCTAAGGTTGTTTCCACCTCAGTCCAACCATATATCTTCCAGTGTTCTTTCTGAAACCTCACTCTAAATGAGGTTTAGGAGAAATTTCATACCTTGGATGTTCAGAGGGCTCTATCCTTTTTACCCAGACTGTAAAAATTCTTTCAGATCATCTCCTAGATGTTTTTTCTTGTAGCCTATGGTGAAAGGATTAAAAGGTAACCTGTTACAGCTCAGTATATATCACAATGGATTTCTGACTGTATCAAGCTCTGCTATGATCTCGCTACAGTCTCCTCCTCCTCTAAGGATAACAGCCTATTCTTCTGAGGTTCATTCCACTTTGACAGCCTTATTCAGCAATATACCTTGTCAAGGTTCCTTCCCCACTCTGAACTCTAGGGTACAGATGTGGGGACCTGCATGAAAAACCCCCTAAGCTTATTTTTACCAACTTAGGTTAAAACTTCCCCAAGGTACAAACTATTTTACCTTTTGTCCCTGGACTTTATTGCTGCCACCACCAAGCGTCTAACAAATATAACAGGAAAGAGCCCACTTGGAAATGTCTTTCCACCCAAAATCCCCCCAAGCCCTACACCCCCTTTCCTGGGAAAGGCTTGATAAAAATCCTCACCAATTTGTACAGGTGAACACAGACCCGAACCCTTGCATCTTAAGAACAATGAAAAAGCAATCAGGTTCTTAAAAGAAGAATTTTAATTAAAGAAAAAGTAAAAAAATCACCTCTGTAAAATCAGGATGGTAAATACCTTACAGAGTAATCAGATTCAAAACACAGAGAATCCCTCTAGGTTAAACCTTAAGTTACAAAAAGACACAAAAACAGGAATATACATTCCATTCAGCACAACTCATTTTATCAGCCATTTAAACAAAACAGAATCTAACGCATATCTAACTAGATTGCTTACTGACTTTTTACAGGAGTTCTGACCTGCATTCCTGTTCTGGTCCCGGCAAAAACAACATACAGACAGAGAGAACCCTTTGTTTCCCCCGCCTCCAGCTTTGAAAGTATCTTGTCTCCTCATTGGTCATTTTGGTCAGGTGCCAGCGAGGTTGTCTTAGCTTCTTAACCCTTTACAGGTGAAAAGGTTACAGAGAGCAACAATACTCGAAGTCCAAAGGTGCAAACAATTCAATGTTTATTGGGGTGAACTTCCAGCAAGCATGATTCCAGTTTCCTTCCTTAGTGTCCCCCTTCCCAGCTCTGACACCACAGAGCCTTACCTGTGTCCCTATTCCCATTCCTGCCCTTAGCAAAACATGATTCCAATTTCCCCACCCCCATTCCCTGTTCCCATTTCCCCCGTTAGCAAAACATGATTCCAATTTCCCCACCCCCATTCCCCCCGCCACTCACTCACTTCCTGATTGACTGCAGACTATCTAGTAAAACTTGAGTTCTGCTTAGCTATACCTTAACCAATCATTTTCCTGAAATTTAACTAACCAATCCTAACATATTGTAACATGAGTATTTAACCAATTAAATCCCACCACTTTAATTAGTTTACACCCAGCAAAATTAATTATACAGCAGACAGAAACAATCACAGAACCAGACAGAGATTATACAGACAAACAATAGAGAAATGGGGACTGGAGTGATAGAATAACACAGAAATGCGAATTTCATATCCCAGCTATTGATAAGTGAGTTCTTGCCAGACAGGATGCTATCAAACTAAGTTTCCTTTTACATCTTCTAGGCACTTCCCTTTCTCTGGAGGCGATAGGCATTATCAGGACAGGATTGTATTCCTAACAGCCCAATAGCACCTTATTTCAATGTGACTAGTTTGGAATGTGAGGACGTGACCGGTCGCTTCCCAGTTTATGGCAGCCTCTGCTGCTTAGCCAAAAGCCTTAGCCTAAGCACAGGGCCTCAGACTGTCACAGTAAGAGAAGGACCTTACACCAGCAGACAGTGATTTTGATTCTTTCTTTTATACTTCTATAACTAGCTAAGTGATATGAATATACCTACATTCTTAGAGTATAGGCCTTTACAGACAGGCCTGAATATCTATATCCTAACAATTACCTTTATTACAGTGTGGCTAAAGGCTCTAACAGGGGTCAGGGCTTTACTACAGTAGGTGCTGTACAAACACATAAAAAGAGATAATCGTTGCCCCAAAGAGTTTAAAATCTAATAGACAAGACAGACCAATGGTGAGAGAGAGAGGAAATGTTGTCTCCGTTTTACAGCTGGGGAACTGAGGCACATAGCGATTCATTAACTCACCCAAGGTCTCCTAGTGTGTCAGTGACAGAGCTGGGAATTGTCCTTGAGATGGGTCTAGTATCTCAGTCCAGCGCCTGGAGCACAAGACCATCCTTCTCTTGAGAGAGAAAGGATGGTTGTGCTCCAGGCACTGGACTTAATATCAAGACTAAGCATAATGGTCACAGTCTCACTCTGTCATTTTCTATCATTGCTTGAAAAAACAGGCACTCTATCATACATGCCCACAACTGAGGTAAATTACTTTTTAATGTTCTTTGTTCTTTCAAATTTGTAACAGACTTTAAATAATAAGAGACAAACACAAGTAACTGAACGTTGGGATGATATACGGTGTTGGCGGTGGTGAGAGAATCTTTCCTCTAAGGCCACTGTGCTGTAATGAGAAAAGGAGTACTTGTGGCACCTTAGAGACTAACAAATTTATTTGAGCATAAGCTTTCGTGAGCTACAGCTCACTTCATCGGATGCATTCAGTGGAAAATACAGTGAGGAGATTTATATACATAGAGAACATGAAACAATGGGTGTTACCATACACACTGTAACCAGAGTGATCACTTAAGGTGAGCTATTACCAGCAGGAGAGAAGTGGGGGGAGCCTTTTGTAGTGATAATCAAGCTGGGCCATTTTCAGCAGTTGACAAGAAAGTCTGAGGAACAGTGGGGGGTGGGAGGGATGATACAGTTCTGTGGTGACCTAGAATCCTATTTTCGATGCCTCCGACTCAAGGAATATTTCCAACACACCTCTGAACAACATACTAACCCACAGAGACCTTCCTACCAAGACTACAAAAAGAAGGATTCTGGGTGGACTCCTCCTGAAGGTCGAAACAACAGACTGGACTTCTATATAGAGTGCTTCCGCCGACATGCATGGGCTGAAATTGTGGAAAAGCAGCATCACTTGCTCCATAACCTCAGCCGTGCAGAACCCAATACCATCCACAGCCTCAGAAACCACTCTGACATCATAATCAAAAAGGCTGACAAAGGAGGTGATGTCGTCATCATGAATAGGTCGGAATATGAACAAGAGGCTGCTAGGCAGCTCTCCAACACCACTTTCTACAAGCCATTACCCTCTGATCCCACTGAGGGTTACCAAAAGAAACTACAGCATTTGCTCAAGAAACTCCCTGAAAAATCACAAGAACAAATCTGCACAGGCACACCCCTGGAACTCCGACCTGGGGTATTCTATCCGCTACCCAAGATCCATAAACCTGGAAATCCTGGACGCCCCATCATCTCAGGCATTGGCACCCTGACAGCAGGATTGTCTGGCTATGTAGACTCCCTCCTCAGGCCCTACGCTACCAGCACTCCCAGCTATCTTTGAGACACCACTGACTTCCTGAGGAAACTATAATCCATCGGTGATCTTTCTGAAAACACCATCCTAGCCACTATGGATGTAGAAGCCCTCTATACCAACATACCACACAAAGAGGGACTACAAGCCGTCAGGAACAGTATCCCCAATAATGTCACAGAAAACCTGGTGGCTGAACTTTGTGACTGTGTCCTCACTCATAACTATTTCACATTTGGGGACAATGTATATCTTCAAATCAGCGGCACTGCTATGGGTACCCACACGGCCCCACAGTATGCCAACATTTTTATGGCTGACTTAGAACAACGCTTCCTCAGCTCTCGTCCCCTAATGCTCCTACTCTACTTGCACTACATTGATGACATCTTCATCATCTGGACCATGGAAAAGAAGCCCTTGAGGAATTCCACCATGATTTCAACAATTTCCATCCCACCATCAACCTCAGCCTGGACCAGTCCACACAAGAGATCCACTTCCTGGACACTACGGTGCTAATAAACAATGGTCACATAAACACCATCCTATACTGGAAACCTACTGACTGCTATTCCTACCTACATGCCTCCAGCTTTCATCCAGACCACACCACATGATCCATTGTCTACAGCCAAGCTCTACGATACAACCGCATTTGCTCCAACCCCTCAGACAGAGACAAACACCTACAAGATCTCTATCAAGCATTCTTACAACTATAATACCCACCTGCTGAAGTGAAGAAACAGATTGACAGAGCCAGAAGAGTACCCAGAAGTCACCTACTACAGGACAGGCCCAACAAAGAAAATAACAGAACGCCACTAGCCGTCACCTTCAGCCTCCAACTAAAACCTCTCCAACGCATCATCAAGGATCTACAACCTATCCTGAAGGATGACCCATCACTCTCAAGATCTTGGGAGACAGGCCAGTCCTTGCTTACAGACAGCCTCCCAACCTGAAGCAAATACTCACCAGCAACCACACCCCACACAACAGAACCACTAACCCAGGAACCTATCCTTGCAACAAAGCCCGTTGCCAA